TCACTTCCCTCTGATTCTCTGAACTCCCTCAGAACCTTCCCCCTCATTCCTTTGCCCCCTAAGACACCCAGAAGTCACCTGTGTGTTGATTCGTAGGGAACCCTGAGCCCTGGATTCTAGAATGTCCATGAGGAGGGGTGAATATTCTGAGGGTCTGGAACGCCAGGCCTTCCAAGATGCCGGGAGTCCGCAGTTTCAGTGATCCTACGGTGCTGAGCCTCCCAGGTCCCACACGCAGGGATTCTCCAGCTTATCCCTGCCTTCCCGGCTCCTCCATAATTGCTCCTGACAGATAGTAGTGTTTCCGGGCGGAAACAAGATTCCTCTAATCCAGCAGGCCACGCCCAGGGCCTGCTGCGCACAGCCACCTGGCTTTCCCCAGCAGCTTAATGAGAGTCAGAATTAATTGGAACTGGCACCCGACACTCACAGGGCTCAGGGTGGCCGGCTTGGCCTCCATATGTTCCTGGGCCTCACTCTGATCTGTCCTAGACATCAACAGGTATGACACGTGAGGCCTGGAGCTTAGCCTGATAAGGGAGGTGGCTGGGGCCGTGCTGACCTGGTTCTGCAGGTAGAGCCAGCCTGCTCATCTTCCCTGGAGAGAGTGCACACCCCCGTTCTACAACTTCCCCGTCTGCCTCAGTTTCCCCCTTTGTTCCCTAAACCAGCCTCATGATTTGCTGTAAATTGCTCAGCATATGCATTGTCCTTGGGCACATGGAGACTCCCAGAGGGATATAGCTAGTTTATTATTTCAATAGCTATTATCAGAGAGATTATGCTGTTTCACACTCCAACCCTAAGATGTGAAATGGCTCTTTCCCCAAAACCCCAGCAATATGGTGAATTATCAAACTTTTTCACCTTCAGCAACCTAACAGATTGCATTTAAAAAAGGTATTTCATGCCGAGACTGGTTTTGGCTCAGTGGATATCTAGATTGTCGGCCTGCAGACTGAAGGGTCTCAGGTTCGATTCCAGTTGGGGCATGTACCTTGGTTGCGGGCACATGTATTTTATAGTAGTTTTACTTTATATCTAATTTACCATGAATGAAAACGACTTCCTGTCATGTGTTAAAAAGACACTGAATTTCTTTTTTGTTAAAAAAAAAAAAGTATTTTTATTGATTTTAGAGAGGAAGGGAAAGGGAGAGAGAGAGAGGAACATCAATGAGAGGGAATCATTGATCAGCTGCCTCCTGCACGTCTCCTACTGGGGATGGAGCCTGCAACCTGGGCATGTGCCCTTGACTGGAATCGAACCTGGGACCCTTCAGTCCGCAGGCCGATGCTCTATCCACTGAGCCAAGCTGGCTAGGGCTCATTTTACTTTTTATATAATTTCCCCCTTCCCAGAGTTGCTTTATCCCACCTCCTTAATCTATCACCAATGGATTTTATGTAACCCACCTATGTCCCTCCTTTGATTGCAATGTATAAATACAGATGTAATTTAACATTCTCCAGAGCATTATCTCAATTCATTGAGATTCTGCTTCCTGGCATATGTCGACAGTTTGGCTCAAATAAACTCACAAAAATTCTTTACAGGTTTCAATGTTTTGTTTTGTTTTTTTTTCCATTGCCAAAGCTATTTGCATTTTAAGGAAATCAGCCTTTTCTCTATCAATCTTGGAAAAGTTTTCCTAACTTTGGCTATTGACTGTCTAGTGTGTGTGTGTGAGAGAGAGAGAGAGAGTTTTTTATTTGTTTGCAGTCAGTTATTAATCTTTTCATTAAAGACTTCAGGGTTTAATGTCATGTTTTAATAAACTAGGATTATTATTTTTAATTCCCATGTTTTCTTTGAGTAGTTTATAGACCGCCCCCCCCCCCCCTTTTCTGGGAAGGGTGATCCATCTGGAATTTGCTTTTAGTCATTTTAAAGAATTTTCATCTGAAATCTCATGATTGTGTAAGAAGCTTCACAGTCAGTCAGCGGACAATAGCATGAGTGTTGAAGCCAAGTGGCTGAGATTCAAATCTTGGCTCTGCGATTTTCACTGTGTATTGTCAGGGGAGCCATGTATCCTCTCTATGCCTCAGTCTACTCATCTGTAAAATGGGAGATAATAGCATCATATGCGAATTAAGGGATGTGTCCTATTTTTTTTAAATATGTTTTTATAGATTTTAGAGAGAGAGGAAGGGAGAGAGAAACATCACTTTGTTCTTTCACTTACTTGTGCATGTATTCACTGTTGTTGTTTTTTTAATATATATATTATATATAATACATATATAATATATATATATATTTTTTTATTTTTTAATTTTATTTATTTATTTTTTTTACTGATTTTTTTACAGAGAGGAAGGGAGAGAGATAGAGAGCCAGAAACATAGATGAGAGAGAAACATCAACCAGCTGCCCCCTGCACACCCACTACCGGGGATGTGCCTGCAACCAAGGTACATGCCCCCGACTGGAATCGAACCTGGGACCCTTCAGTCCACAGACCGACGCTCTACTGAGCCAAACCGGCTTCGGCCACTGTTGTTTCTTATATGTGCCCTGACCTGGAATTGAATCCACAAGCTTGGTGTATTGGGAAGATGCTCTAACCCAGTAGTTGGCAAACTCATTAGTCAACAGAGCCAAATATCAACAGTACAACGATTGAAATTTCTATTGGGAGACAAATTTTTTAAACTTAAACTTCTCCTAATGCCAATTCTTCAAAGCATACTTGCCCAGACGGTGGTATTTTGTGGAAGAGCCACACTCATGGGGCCAAAGAGCCGCATGTGGCTCGCGAGCTGTGGTTTGCCGACCACTGCTCTAACCAAATGAGCAACCAGCCAGGCCAAACTGCACTTTTTTCTGAATATCCTCTTATTGATTTATTTACAGAGAGGAAGGGAGAGAGATAGAGAGTCAGAAACATCGATGAGAGAGAGTCATCGATCAGCTGCCTCTTGAACCAAGGTACATGCCCTTGACCGGAATCAAACCCAGGACCTTTCAGTCCCCAAGCCGACGCTCTATCCACTGAGCCAAACCGGTTTCGGCTGAATATCCTCTTGAAACCAGACAACCCATGGGTCCGGGCCGCCTGTCACTTGAGCCATTTCAGCAGAGACAGGGCTGCATCATATATGAGCGTTTATTCCGGTGCCACCAGCAGCACAGGAGAGCAGCAGGCCACCCACAAAACTCTGCTCTGCAAACCCGCACAGACCAGCTGCTTATCAGGTGGGAATAAGATTACTGGGAAAGCAGGGATTACAGGCATGGGGAGGTAGGCTATTCGGGCTGGGGCGGGACTCCATTTTTTTTGGGGGGGAAAGGTTGTTAATTTTTTCATGATAATAGGCAGTTCTTGACTGAGAATGGACCACATTCCAAGGTTGAGTCCCTGGTCCTGGGTGAGGCTACTTTCCCAGCCAAGTTTGAATGTCCTTTCTTGAACCAGAACAAGGCAATCATGGTTAACAGAGCATGGTTACTATTTCCCATAACCACAGCTAGTCCCCAATATTCTATTTTTGCCCCTAACACTCTCAGCACAGACAATTGTGACTGTGCTTCAGTAACATTTCTCAGTGCTCTACCTCAGTCATTTCATCCTCATAACAACCCCAGCGGATAGATGGGGACGTGGAGGCCCAGGGTCTCTAAGTTCCTTCCTGGGGATCTTTCCTTCCTGGGTCGGCTTAGAGCCCACACTCTGTCCACTTCCTGTTCTGGCCTCAGCCTCCAGCTCGCCCTCCCCCCTGCCACTGCTGGAGGAGGAGTTCCCAGTGGGCTTCATCTTAACTGGCTTCTAAGTACAGACTGAATCATGGAGGCCAAGCCAGCATCCCGGATTCCCAGAACTGGTCAGTCCTGTCCTGGCGGGTAAGACAGGGGCAGGGGCGGACTGCAGGCAATCAGGGAAGGCTTTGGGAAGAGGGTGCTCTGGGAAGAGGTGTGACTGGAGAGGGGAGAGGAGCCCGAGAAAGGGGTAGCCAAGGTGGGGGGACATGGCATTGGGATAGATGAGCCTCCTGTGGCTGCCACTGACCACAAATCTTTCCTCCTGCTTTCCCCCCCACGAGGCACACACTCAACTATAAAGTTGGTGATGGATTGTGGGAAGGTGTCTCCTTAGTGGGAATGTTGAACTCCTATTCATCTGCCAAAGCCCTAGCTCCAATGCCTACCAGTCTGGGAGGCCATGCCCACATACTGGCCTTTCCCAGTCTGGGTTCTCTCTTCCTACTTGAGCCCTGACCTCATAGGCCTGGGAGTGTCTGTGTCCAACTCTGTATCCCTCACCCTCAACTGGGAGACCCTTCAGGGCAGGGCCCTCGGTTGTGATGTCTCTGGTGCTTGGCATTGCCCAGCCCAGCACAGAGAAGATGCTTGCTGAGTGTGTCTTGAAGGAAATAAGGAAATAAATGAGTAAGCGATGAATGGAATTCTCAGTCACTTGTTTCCCTCTGCCCAGGGCCCTCCAGTGTTCCCCCCACCCTCAGGGTAAAAGCCCAAGTTCTCCCCAAGGCCCAGGTGGCTCTGTAAGACCTGCCCCTCATCACCTCCCTGACCTCACCTCTTCCCTCTCTCCCCCTTGCTCCCTCCCTCTGCTCAGCCACCAGAGCCCCTATCTGTTCCTCTAACCACCAGGCATGACCCTGCCCAGGGCCTTTGCATCCCGCTGCCTCCTCTGTCTGGTCTGCAGCACTCTGATCCTTTGCATGACTGACTCACTGCTCTCACCTTCAGAAGTCAATTCAAATGCCACCTCCTCAGAGAGATCTCTCTTAACCCAGATCTCTAGGAGAATCACCAACCTCGCTTCCCTTCCTTCTTTTCCCCTCCCTAGCCCTTCCCAGGATAGGGTGCATTGTGTATCGAAGTATTTATATTGAAGATGGGTTCCTCATCGTGGGGTTTGGTCTCAGGTGTCCCGGGTGCACAAAAAGGGGTCTGCGGAGGGGGCGAGGGCCCTGGGTCTGCCCCGCCCTCCAGGGCCCTCCCTCGGGCACAGCGGGCGGGGCCGGCGGGCGGGGCCGGCGGGGGCGGGCTGCCAGTCCAGTCGGGCGGGTGCACTGGGCACGCGGGGCCGGGGCCGGGGCCGGGGCCGGGCGGGAGCGCCCGGCGGGCGCCATGGAGGGGCTTCGGCGGGGCCTGTCGCGCTGGAAGCGCTACCACATCAAAGTGCACCTGGCGGACGAGGCGCTGCTGCTGCCGCTCACCGTGCGGCCGCGCGACACGCTCAGCGACCTGCGCGCCCAGCTGGTGGGCCAGGGCGTGAGCTCCTGGAAGCGCACCTTCTACTACAACGCGCGGCCGCTGGACGACCACCAGACGGTGCGCGACGTGCGCCTGCAGGACGGCTCGGTGCTGCTGCTCGTCAGCGACCCCAGGTGGCGGCCCGGAGGGCGGGCGGGCGGGGGTCCCGGGTGGGAGCGGCCTGGCTGGGAGAGGAAGGCAGGCAGGGGGCCGGAGGGCTGGTGGGGTGGGGGATGGGGATGCGGCAGGGCTGGGGGAGAAGAGTGCGGGTAGGAGGGACCTGGGCGGGCGGGTAGACTAAGGTCCTTCCCCACCCCTGGGACGCTTTCTCCCCCGGCCCCAGCTCTGCCCTGATGGGCACCGGCTGTAACAGGAATGGAGAGATGCCAGGAGGGCAGCTGGATGCCTCTGCCTGCTTCCCTCTTTTCTCTCTCGCTGTCTCTGGCCTCCCTTCCCTTTCTTTGTCTCCCCTCTCTCCCTCTCTCCGCAGTGCTGTCCTATTTATTCCACTCCCTATCATTCTTTCTGCCTCCCTATGGCTCGGCCCATTTCTGTCTGCCCATTCTGTCTCTGCTCTTTTCTCTGTCTCTTCCCCTCTGTCTCTCTCGGTGCATTTCTGTCTCTATTTGGCTCTGTCACTGTCTTTCTGAGTCTCTGGTCCTTCCCTCTTTATCCATCTCTCCAGTACACCTGCCAACCCATATTCCCATCCTGACACTGGCTGCCTGCACTCTGCCCTGGCCATCTGGAGTCCTGGCCAGGGTGACCCACAGGGGTCTGCAGAGAAGGGCTTCTGGGCCGCGGGGAGAGCACACACGGAGGCCTGGGGCTGTGCTCAAGGTGTGTGTGTGGGGAGGAAGGATCTTAGGGGCAGGGGGAGACGATGGGATGGTGACGGATGGGGTTTGGGGTCTTGCGCTGGGAGAGGGTGTTCCTGGCAGTGCACCTTCTACAAGGTCTGGAAACTGGACAAGCCCAGACATCACACACCGTAATCATCGTTCAATACACAATAAGCAGTTATTGAGTGTCTACTGTGTGCCAGGCCATGTGCTGGGCCCTGGAACCCAGTGGGGACTCAGACTAGGCCTGCCCTCACTGAACAGACATGAAACCAAATAAACATATGATTAATGTCAGGTTGGAATGTTTTACACCTTCCTCCTTCCCTCCCTCAGCTCCTTCAGGTCTTTGTTCAGATATAGACATCCTGGCAGAGATACACACACACACACACACACACACACACACACACACACACACACGCACATACACACACACACGCACACGCACATACACACACACACACACGCACGCACACAGGTACATATATATAATTCAGAGAGGAAGGGAGAGGGAGAGAAAGATAAACATCAATGATGAGAGAGAATCACTGACCGCTGCCTCTTACACTCCCCTTTACTGGGGTTCGCAACCCTGGCATGTGCCCTGACCGTGAACTTCTGGTTCATGGGTCAATGCTCAACCACTGGGCCACACCAGCCAGGCCCCATCCCTGCTTTTATCTTTCTCTCACTTCTCTATATTTTTCAATTGTTTTTTACCTCATGTCCCCCAGCAGACTGTAAACTTCATGAGGGCATTGTTGTTCATCCTATTCACTGTTGTGTTCACAGTTCAGTGCCTGCACATAGTAGGTGCTCAATAAATATTTGTGGAAGGTATTGTCTGGGGGTGAGGAAAGGGCTGCTCAGAACATTTTCCTGGAGCCCTAGCAGTTCCAGTGGATGTGAAGGAGAAGGTCTCTGACGTGGGGGTAAGTCCTGGCAGGTGTGGGAAGATGCATCAGCCAGAGACTGAGCAGATAGGTGAGCCTTTGAGAGCCGAGGTGAGGACTGTGTTTGGCCACAATCTGTGTCTTTCTGTCGCCCTCCTGCAGGTAGCCCGGGTTGGAGGAGGTGGAGCCATGACCGAGGGGCCGAAGATGCTGGCTGAAGGAGCAGGCTGGGTGGGGGACACTTCGGGAGGTAAGTCATTCCAGGGACCTTACCTATTGTGAGGACCACAGTTGGGGGAAATGAGGCCCAGAGAGGAGAAGGGACTCACCTCTTTTGAGTGTCACCACCTCCCTCCCCCACCCGACTCGAAACCCCTGCATTGGGCAAAGACACTGTCCTTCCTTCTCACTCATCTTTAGACCAACCGCGCTGCCCCGAACAGGAATGATGTTCCCAGACTTGCTGTGTGGCCTTGGGTGAATGACTGCCTCTCTGGGCCGTTACCTGCCTCCTCACCTTGTCCTCTTGGCCTGAATTCCTGTGGCTCCCCCCAGCCAGGCCCCTCTAGGAATGGCTGGCTCCCTGTGGCCACAGGGCCTCCTGTCCCTCTGGGGGCACCAGCACGTGGGGAAGGAGGGAATGGCTGCAGGCGTTGCTGTCCACACCCGTCGGCAGGGGATGTCAGGGAAAGGGAAGAGACAAACCTGGCCAGAGAGCTGGTGTTTCATGCTCCCAAAGGCCTGAAGTGAGATTGGCTTATCCGCCCCTCCTGCTCTTCTAGGTTCTGGGCTCCGAGGGTGGACAGGGCAACACTGCCCTGACCAGCTGATGCCCACTGCTGGGGACACTCCTGATGGAGCTCCACTCCCTGACTCTGAACTAGGACATTGTCACCCCAGCTCAGCCAATCAGCTCAGCCCATCAGCTCAGCCCATCAGGTTTACTGTGTGACCCTGAGGCCCTGCTGCAGGAACCACGGTGCCAGTGTGGGCAGCCAAGGGATATCACATGAAGAGAAGCACAGAGGGGAGAGGAGAGGAAAGAGGCAGCACCACTCCCACCTCGTACATTCTCGTGGCCACACTTTGCCCAGAGGCACCTTCCACAGCCCTCTCTGTGGCTCCAGCCCACCTAGAACTCCAGCCTCCTGCAGGAAGTCTCAGAAGCCCTCCTGCCCAGCCAGAGAGCACCGCATCCTCTTGTGGGTCCCACAAGCCCCTCTACTGTGATCAGCCTTGGCTGTGGGGAACAGCCAGTCGCTCAGGAAATCTCAAATGACTGAAGGTGGAGACTGGGGGACCCAGCCCTCTCCCAGTTCTCGTGTCGTTCTGTGCTCTATCCTTTTCCCCAAATACCTCCTCTCATTGCATCTGTGCCCCTTCCTTTGGAGTGCCCTCCCTTAATGCCTTGCCCCTGTTTGCTGCATGGGGTTTCCTGGTTGGGTCTGAAGGGCTCTGGCAGAGATCTGGGGGCCTCTGTGCCTGGTAGAGCATTGAGGCTTGGGTGGTAATCTTTTTTTTCCTTCCATTCCACTCATTTTTATTGTGACGATAAAGCACGTTTTTGGGAGACCCCAAATGCCGAAAACAACTCCTTAAAGTTGGCTGCAGCCGCTCACCCTGCTTTCCACTCCGAGCCTTGTGCCATGGGTGGTAATTTTGAGGACATTCCAGGCAGTGTGTTATGGGAATTCTGGGTACAAGACCCCCCAGATCGAACGCGGAGCCTTGGTTGGATCTCTAACCTGCAGCCGCGTGGAGTCTGGTCCTTTGCGCAGACCTGGAGGCTGATTGGGGGTGGAGGGTCCGGCCGTGTGCGTGTGGTGTGGCGTTCACGCTTCAGCTGCTGGCCTGGCGCCGGGAAGAGGCACGGGAGCCTGGGAAGAAATAATGTTTTAATTAAGAAAGAGTCATGTTGGCCACAAGGCCCCGAGCGGAGACAGGTGGATAAGAAATCATGGCTGTGGGGACAGTGCGCTCAGACCACGTTTGCCTGTTGCAGGGCGGGCACCAGGCCTGCAGGCACGTCACCTGGGAGGTGCAGTGCTGTGACCCAGGTTGTCCCTCAGAGGTGGTTTCCAAGCACCCAGTGGGTGTGCAGTGGGGGAGGCAGCCAGGCTTGGGCTTCTCTCCCTGGGTCACATGCATGGGCCTGTTGGGGCCCAGGGAACCCTCCGTCCAGGGCCCAGCAGAGAGGTAGGGCTTTTTAATAATCATCCCAGCTCAGTCCCTCCCTGCTAGGGTCTGAACCATGTACTTATGGGGCCAACCATGATGTTTAACCGCGGTGGTGGCTGTAATTACGGCCCATTTTACAGAGGGGGTGTCTGAAGTCACCACCCTCCCCTCCAGGCTGCTGCTCCAGCAGCCCCTGAACTGAGGGGTCCTCAGCCCAAGCGGGGGTCCCTGGTGAGGATGGGGGAGAGTTTCCTGTGTGCATATGGGATGGGGGTGGGGAAAAGCACTTTGGGGGAATTTTCATGGTTAACAAACACCATGCAAATTTAATGTAAGTGACATGCAAATCACCACCCATATTTTAAGCCTGGACAGCTCTGGCACGTTGTGAAATAATAATGTTGGACCTGTCCCTTGGTGCAGGTCTGGAGGCGAGATACAAAGCCTTCTCCTTCTTTCCTCCTCCCTTTCCCTTTTCTTTCCTCCCCTTACCTTTTCTTCCTTTCTTTCCTCCCCTCCCTCTCCTTCTCTCCCTCCTTCCCCTCCTTCACATTATTTGTTGAAGACCCCTCCCCCCCAGTCCTGAGATGAACACAAACAGCAAAAGTGGCTTCTGGTGTTACTATTTTCCAGATGGGGAAACTGAGGCACAGGCCTGGCCTGAGGTCCCAAAGCCATGTTGTGGAGAGTGTTCCCATCAAGTGTTCTTATTGGCCAAAGTGGGGGGAACCTATGACCCAAGGAGAAGAGCTGACAGTGGCAGGACAGGCTCACGGGTTTCTCGGTCTTAAATGGCAGGCTGCTAAGCCTGGATCTGAAGTCTCGCACTGACTTGCCCATTCCTCCAGTCCTTCTTTCTCCTCCCGCTCCATCTTCATATTCCTTGAATTCTGGACACAACCCCTCTGCTCCATTTGCATGTCTTACCGTCTTTGGCAAGCTTCTACTTATCCTTTAAAAGCCCAGCTCCAATGCCCCTTCTTCATGAAGCCGTTTCTGATCCTCTGAGAAGAGCCTCTATTCCCCTCTGGGCTTCTGTGGCCCCTGGTCTCTTTCTGGTCCGGCCATGACCACCGGAGCCAGCAGTGTCACTGAACACCCTGACAGCTCAGCCCTGGCCTGGAAATGCCACACTTCCAGTCCTTTGCAAGTTCTCTTCCCAGAATGCCCTTTTCAGTCTTTTGCACCTGGCACACCCCTAAATTTTCAATGCCCACCACGAATGTGCCACCTCCATGTGGGCTCTGCCGCTCTCTCCCAGACCACACCTGGGTCCTGCAGCCTCCGGCCCTCTTTCCGGCCCACGCCTGCCCCTTGGAACCGGGAGGTCTGGGGAGCTGCCTCTGGGGACCTGGGGTCACCCAGGTTGGGACTGGGTACAGAGCGACTGGCTGTGTGGAATGTGTACTGATGAAAGATTAAGTGTTCGAAAACAAAATCAAATTCAAACCTCATAGCCAGCGCTTCCTTTACCCTTTCCTCTTGCTCTCGTCCAGGCCTTTGCATAAGCTGTGTCCTGTGCCAGGAATGCCTTTCCCCTTGAATCCTCTTCTGGGGGACCCTAAGCCAAGCACCTCCCCTCTCTGGGCTGAGAAACTGGGGAGCCCGCCCCCCACCCCAGGGCCTTTCAGGCTCCTTGGCTCCACCCCAGGAGCAAGTCTGGGCTGTGAGGAGTTTCGGGTGAGACTTGGCAGCCACTTCCCTCTCTGGGCCCACGGCGGCGTCCCAGGGAGGAGCCACCTCCTGCCTCAGCTGCCCACCCGGTCTGCGCTCTCAGAATGTCAAGGGGCATTTTCCTGGGCAAGTAAATCCAGACAATTCCCAGAGGAGGCACCTGTGGCTTCGCTAGAAACTACATTTACCCGACCTCCCGCTTCAGTCCTGTTATCTCTCTCTACTTGAACTCAGTTAAAAGAACCCCCTTTTTTCCTGATGCCCTGCATGTGACTTCGGGCATTTTCAAAAGCTGCTGGGGCCATGCAATTTGAATTACTTGAATGAGCACCACCAGTTTACACGGATGGCGTGGTGGTCAGGACACCCAGCCGTGGGCCCTCCTGGGCTACAGAGTCGGGGCCGCTCCTGGTACCCCAGTCACAGACTTCCTCTGATGACCTTGGGTGGTTTTTGTCCCTCTCTGGGCCTCAGTTTCCCCACCACCAGAGGAGGATGGTGTTAGGGTGGCGGGGCCAGGAGCTACTCTCATGGCATAGGCTGTTGGCAGAGAGAGCCTGACTCATCCCCGTGTCCAAATGCGTTTGAAAGAATCCTCCAAGGGGAAAACAGTTGTAAGAAAAAAACAAAAAAAAGTCACAGAGCTGACCACCCAGCCTGCCATCTGACTCACCTCGGAGGAAACAGCCCCCCTGCCATCCCCTGCAGCATCCGGGAAACTTGCCTGTCTCTTCCCACTGTGGCCCGGCCCATCCCCTGCGTCCTCCCTGTGCGGGGCTCAGGCCTGGCCTGAGGAAGCACTGACCTCAGCCTTCTGTTCTAAGCTCCAGACCCACCAGACCCCTGGCTGGGGTCCCACTCTTCCTGGCTCCAGGCACTTGCATGTGCTGTTTCTAAGTGTGGAGTTCCCTCTCCTCACCCCTCATCTTTCACGCTCCCACTTGCAGGTTCATTGTCATTTCCTTGGGGAGGCCCTGAACAAGTCTCCCGTTTTGCATACTCACAACATCCTGTTCTTTTCCTTTGTGGCATTAGTTATTTAGGTTGTTATTCATTCAATGTATGTTTTTCTCTGCTAGCCTGTGGGCATGGTGAAGGCTGGGAAGGGGTCTCAGCTGGTCACCACTGGGTCACACGGCATTTAATAACACAGTATGCTATCAACAATAAAATATACATATAGAAAAGAAGCCAGTAAGGCCTGGGGGCCGGGGACATCCTCCCTTCTCAGGCCATGAGGGCCTCCGGCCCCCGTTCCCGTCACCATGCTGCGTGCTCAGGCGGCTCCGGGCACGGGGCTCGGATTGGGATTCCAGGCACTCTGGCTCCTGCCATGGCGATGAATGGGAAAAACTCAGAATTAATTACTGGCTGCTCCTCTGGCCTGATGTGGACAGATACAGAGTGTCCTTGCTGCTGTGTCTGCCCACCACCTCTCAAGAGTTAATTAGAGGCTGGGAAGTGGCCGGCTCAGGGGAAGGTCCCAGAAGGCGCTGCTGCCAGAGAGAGCTGGGTGCACAGCCTAGCTTTGCTGGGCCACTTCCTGCAATTCACTTCTCCTCTCCGAGCCTCCGTTTTCTCATCTGGAAAAGGGAAAGAGAAAACACCCTTGTCTGTTGGGATGAGTTTCTTGGGAGAATCACCTGGAGCTGGTAGAGTGTGGTGTGCAGTAGGTATCCGATGGATGCTGCAGAAATGGCAAGTTTTCTATGCAGGCTTAATTCTTCCTCTACTGCAAAGACAGGAGAATGAAGTGAGGGTTAGGGGCAGCATCCTTACTCAGAGGTAGATCTGTTTCCCTCACCCAGAGAGATAGCACATGGCAAACACAGGTCTGTTTGTAAAAACTGACCTAAGACAAAAACCACAAAGGACCAACAGTTTGTCCAAACTAGTTCCTTTTCCCTCACATTTCAGATAGCCTGACCCCACTGCAAGGGTACAGTGCCCTCTGGTGGGCAGTACGAAGGTGGCATGAATACAAATGTCATCAAGTCCACCTTGCACTGAGTGGTAGAAAGATCATGGAATCCATGAATGTAATTTAAAACTTTCTGGTACTGCCCTAACCAGTTTGGCTCAGTGGATAGAGCGTCAGCCTGCGAACTGAAGGGTCCCAGCTTCAGTTCTGGTCAAGGGCATGTACCTTGGTTTCGGGCACATCCCCAGTGCAGGAGGGAGTGTGCAGGAGGCAGCTGTTCAATGTTTCTGGCTCTCTATCCTCCCTTCCTCTTTGTAAAAAATCAATAAAATATATTTTAAAAAATTTCTGGTACCACTAGAAAAAAGTAAATGTAAGCAGATAGATTTTATTTAAATATTAAAATATTATGATTCAATACATTAAAAGTATTTTGTCACGCAACCAATATAAAAATTTTATAATAAGCTATCTTACATTCTTTTTTTTCATACCAAGTTTTTAGAACCTGGTGTGTATTTTATACTCACAGAACATCTCAATTTGAACTAGTAACATTTTAATTTTATTATTTAAAATTATTTTTATTGAAGGAGAGAAAAACATCGATGAGAGAGAATCATCAATAGGCTCCCTTCTACACACCCCCATTGGGGAGTGAGCCTACAATTTGTGCATGTGTCCAGGTAGGTAATTGAATCATTGAGCTCCTGGTTCATAGGTTGACATTCAACCATTGAGCCATGCTAGCTGGGCTATTCTTCTTTCAAGAGAATGAGGACTTTTTTTGCCATTGATTTTTAGGGAGTAGAAGGGGTAAAGGGAGAGAGAGGAACACTGATATGAGACACATAGATTGGTTGCCGCTCACACTCTTCCCAACTGGGGGTGTGTGTGTGTGTGTGTCAGGGATTGAACCTGCAACCCACTGAGCTATGCTGGCCAGGGCTGAAGTAGTAACATTTATTTATATATATTTTAAATATATTTTTATTTTGCTTATTTAAATATATTTTATTGATTTTTTACAGAGAGGAAGAGAGAAGGATAGAGAGCTAGGAACATAGATGAGAAACATCAACCAGCTGCCCCCTGCACACCCCCTACCGGGGATGTGCCTGCAACCAAGGTACATGCCCTTGACCGGAATCGAACCTGGGACCATTCAGTCCGAGACCGACGCTCCATCCACTGAGCCAAACTGGTTTTGGTTAAATATATTTTTATTGATTTCAGAGAGGGAAGGAGAGGTAGAGAGAGATAGAAACATCAATGGTGAGAGATAATCATTGATTGGCCACCTCCTGCATGCCCCACACTGGGGATCAACCCTGCAACCTCAGCATGTGACCTTGACCAGAATTGAACTAGGCCGATGCTCTATCCACTGGACAAAACCAGTTGGGACTGAACTAGTAATGCCAGGGGCTCCCATATTAGACAGTATAGAATTAGGGTATACGATTAAGCTCTTACCTGGACCATGCAGTCCCCTCTGCCCTGGTCCCCCAACCCTCATCGTTCAGTCTGTCCTCCCCTCAAAAGCCACTAGATAGCATCTGTGAGCCCCCGAGTCCCACCCCTCCTCTGTTCACAGCCCACCTTGGATCTCATTGCCTTTGGGAGCAGAGAGGACGACTAGGGCTTTTACCCTGAATGAGATAGGAGCCCAGGTGAGTCATGATGGTGAAAGTGTTCCAGGCAGAGGGAACAGCCAGTGCAAAGACCCTGAGGCAGGACGGTGCCTGGCCTGTTAAGAGGAACAGCCAGGAGGCCACTCATGTGACTGCAGCAGAGTGAGCATGGGAGAGAGAGAGGGCAGGGAGAGGAAGGGAGCATGTCCTGAAAGGCTGTTCGGGGCGGGGGGCAGTGGCGTGGGGGGGACTTGGGCTTTTCTTGCTAGATGGATGGTAGGTAGTGGGTTTAGCAAGAACAAAGGCTCTGAGAGGTTGAGAGTCTGGTTGCATTGTTTCTGAATTCAGGACGGGCAATAACCCCACCTCAGTGGAGTCAAGGGTTCCAAACCTGCCTCTCCCTCCCCTTAGCCCAGTGACTTAAGGCCAATGACTTGCCCTTCTGGGCCTGTTTCCCATCCATTAAGTGGGTCCAATAATGGACCATCCTCTACAGTGTTGAGGCTGTGGATGAAAGAGGGGCTGCTTACTAAATCTGACACGGTCAGGGGAGGCCTACATGGAGGGTCTTACAAACTCAGAGACTGAAAATAACCACATAGAATGGTCTAAACATCAAAATGTCTAACTAAAAGCGGGTTGTGCTGGTAGTTAAGGCTTAGGACTGTGGCTTCCTTGACCAAAGACAGTCTTTTATTTATTTATTTAATATATTTTATTGATTTTTTACAGAGAGGAAGAGAGAGGATAATCAGAAACATCAATGAGACCGATCAGGTGCCTCCTGCACATCCCCCACTGGGGATGTGCCCGCGATCAAGGTACAAGTCCTTGACCGGACTCGAACCTGGGACTCTTCAGTCCGCAGGCTGATGCTCCATCCGCTGAGCCAAACCAGTCTCGGCCAAGGACAGTCTTTATGATGTGAGTCTGTCTGTTGTCTTTTTGCATCCAAGAAAACATACCTTTGGAATGTTAGAGTCATCTTTCCCAGAGCCCCCAGGGCACACACACATCAGAGCTTGAGATTATAGCACTCATCTTGGTCATCTTGTTCTCCAAATACCATCTCCATGTGCTGTGAGTGCTCATCGTTAACTATCCTGGACCCACCAATATGAAAGAACTGTGTGTCTCTTCCTTTCACTCTTTATCCAGATTCTCAGAGATTTTCCTACTTTGCTTTCCCTGCCTCCCTAATCGTCCACCAGAACATTTCCTGACACCCTCCTGATGTCTTTCTCCTTCGGCTCTAATGTATTTAAAGCAACCCAGTAGCTGCATTTTACAGTTGAGTAAATAGACTCAGAAATGAAGGAACTTGGCCCAAGGCAGGATGCAAAGGCAGAGCTTGGTCCCTTTGTCACAGGTGGTTGGTCTCTGGAACACAGAGGGCCCGTGGGCTGAGCAGAGGAAATATGACTCCTTGAAGCTGAGGGTGGGAGACAATGAGCAAGCTGCAAACCCCTGGATTACAGGAATGCTTGGTCCCTGAACATATCGGCCTCACACTGTCCAGCCTTAAGGTCTCCTTCCTTCTCATGTCCTGACAACACCCATTCCACACTCAGACCCAGCCTCTCCCCCAGCAGAGTTCATCACTTCCTGGTATTCAACAGCTCCTCTTTCTCCAGCTCCCCACTTTGCTATTAACTTGTCCTCACCCCACTAGGATGCAGTTCCATTCAGATGAGATCCGTACATGAGTTAGATCCAGAGTCAAAGTAGATGATGGGTGCTTGGGGAGGGGGAGGGGGAGATGTTAGTGTTTACTGAGTTCCAGTTTGGGGAAAGATGACTGGTGATGGTTGTACACAGTGTGAATTAAATGCTACTTCTGAACGGTGCACATAAAAATAGTTAAAACAGTAAATTTCATGTTACATATATTTTACCACACACAGAAAATAACAGCCTGTTCAGCAAGGGCTACAGGACTGCTGGAAACCCCCCAGTCCCTGGAAGCTGCCCTCTTTCCCTAAAGGAAAAGCTGTGCTGAGTACAATTTTGTTTTAAAGAGGCAGAAGTAAAAAGAGAGGATGATTTAAATAAAGGATATGTGAACAGAAACACATTTATTACAAAAAAACAAAACAAAAAAACAACCCACATCCACATTGTATTGAGCTACAATATGGCAGCAGATAAAAAAAAGTTATTGTACACAGTTTAAGATAAATCCTAACAGAACGTACTCTGGTTGCCACATGATGGAACACAGGATTCCAAGCACTTAGTAGTGGCGAGTGAAGTGAGCTTCATTAGGTTGGCTGCCCCGGTTCTGGCCAGCAAATCCACCTTGCATTCCACCACGTAGGATCACGTGACCCCGAGAGGCCCCACCGGGGGCAAAGCTGCCACGCCTGGAACAAATGCAGATGCTCATATATCCTAAGTCTGTTTAGTGGGATGTGTTGGGTGCCTGTGGGTCACATGCTCTTCAGAACCCTCCTTCCTCAAGCAGCAGCACCATGGGACAGACCTCGCACCATTTTAGGACACAGCATTAGGGGAGGCAGGGTAAGTTGGGAAGACTTGAATGTTTCAAAAACTCCCCCAAGGCAAGCTAACATATAGAGAGACCGACCAACAGAATGCCTTACCCTGATATCCCTCCCCTGTTCATCATGTGACCTGGCCCAGAGTGACCAGACATGCTTCTCTCACCACCTGGAAAACAAGAGACACTTTTCACATGGTGCTTCCAAGCACAGAATGCAGTTTAGAGGACAATGACACAGGGTTCTGGTGTGTCCAGTCCCTTTCTTGAGCCACCCAGTCAAACCAAATCTCACAGGTCCCCAGGGAATGTATAAGCACCAGAAGGCCACAGGACGGTCCTCACTAAGTTACAGGGGGGAGGGGTTACCAACACCTACATCACTCTTCTGTGCCAACCCTCACTCCTCACCCCATCCAGTCATTAAGGGGCTTCTCCTCTACCAGGCCCTGGGGAGGAAGAGCAGAGAAAGTACTCCTGCTCTCAGAGGAGGGGGATTAGCAATGATTAGTGAAGAACAGGTGCAGCTTCAACTTTCTAGATGCTTCTCTAAAGACACACAGATGCTTCCCTGAGAGCCAGTCCTTACCTTGCCACCTCTTGTGGCCCCTGTCTATCATGCCTCCGTCAGCAGCACCCTGCCATGCACGCTCATCCTCAATTCTTCGGCCATGGTCCCC